ATGGTAAACCTGAGGAGCAGCGTCAAAAGTCTATGGACCACGTCAGGAGATTGATTGATAATTAAAAAGAATTTGATGATGTCCAAGTCCTTGTCTAGATACGCCACGCAGTCCACATCCATTCAGAATCGTAGGGGCGTTGAATGCAATTTGATCCATAAGTGGCCTGCAGAGACCAGGCAATATACGGGTCTTTTTAGGTGAACCATGTACAAATTAAGCACGACGTCATTCTGTCGTATGCTCTAGAGAGCAGATTCCAAAATGGGTACAAAAGTGCACGTTACCTCTAAGATGGGACCATTTTAGGAGTCAACGTGGTCTAGAACACGCATCTTCCAACTACACAACAAATGTTACTCCAACATAATAAGAACACGATAAAATTTATTAATAAACACTTCAAAAGAATAACTAACTTCAGAAGTCAACTGCACTAAACTAGGCGAGACTAACAAACATCCTAGCAACAAGAAATGAACAAAAATAGAACCTAAAAAATAGAACCAAACCTAGAATTCAGTTGCAAAATGGGATAAGATCAACAAGGGGATTATACAGGAAGAGGCTATGACGGTGTTGGATTCACCTGACGGACTGTAATATTCACCCGACTGGTGTTAGCAAACTGCTCGAGAAGTGGATCACCAAAGGTGAACTGACGATGGCTATGAATAGCCGCGACGGCATGATAGACAAGCCGTTGAGCGCCGTGCATCACCAGAATGTCTCCAGAGCGAAGCCACAATGGAATAACTTCGTCGTCAAGTGAATCGCCTCCTGATAGATAGATTGCTGACTGACCCAAAGAGAACGACACCAGTGGAGCGGAAGTTCGTTCTGACCTGAACCGAATGAAGACTGAGTGGACTCAGAGCTGCAGGCGACTCTAATAATAGCGCTCTGCTGAAGTTCTTTTCTGAACGTTGTAATTAAAGAAAAGGCCACAAATCTGCATTTATTACTTGCTACTTCGACTGCTTCATGGATCTCTTTCACTGAGGGTCCTCTCTCACTGAAAGATCTCTAGCCGGTGGCGAGGCTACGTGGCGCGACCCCAGGTGGCGGATAGGGGTAAATCGCGGAT